AGGTAAGTGCATAGGACTCTTCTGGAGTAGGGGATTTTTGTATCCTGACAGTCCTTTTTTCAAGATTGACCATACCAGAAAATTGAGATCTGAGCATTCTGCTGTAATTATACATTATGTATAATAGCAATTTTTTAAAAACGTGCTACTCATTACTCCTCAGAGAAATACAAATTAAACCACAAGGCACCCACTAGAATAGCCAAACTAACCATTGCCAAAGTGATGAGTGTGGGCTAACTTGGTAAATTACTTTGGAAAAAAACATAGCAATTTCCTCTAAAACTATACATCTCCCTCCAAGCCATTCCACACTGATCAGTACATACATGTGTAAGTACAAAGACTAATAACATAACAACACTCATAACTTTGTAACAGCTCAAAACTAGAAAAAGCCCAGGCTCTCATAGTAAAGCATACTAATCAATAAATGAGCCAATTAATATATTCATAGCTACATATTGAATGTTTGAGCTCAGAGCAGTGAGGCACACCTCTTTTAAACCCAGCACTTTGGAAGGCCAAGGCAGAGTTCCAAGTTCAAGCTCAACCTAAACAATTTTTTAAGACCCCACCTCAAATTAACATTTTTTTAAAAAAGGCTTAGGGTTTAGCTCCCATGCAAATGCCCTACATTTAAAGGACCAAATATTTTTCCCATACTAGAGATTGGGATCTTGCACTTGCCAGGCAGGTGTACTACTGAGCTACATCCCCAGCACATATTAGTTCTTTGAAAAAGGCTGTATACCTTATATCTATTTTTTTTTAGCACAGGGAAAGTACACCTATACAAATTAGAAAGAAAACCCAAATAGTAGCTTTGAAAGATGAAGGCAGAAACTGACAGGGAAGAGCCACAAGGTAAATTATCTGAGATGGGTAAGATCACCATTTTACATAGGGTACATGTAGTTATTTTTTGTATTTCAGATTTAATTTCTACCTTAAAACTTTGTAATAATTTGCTACTACTGTGGGGCTGGGGATTTAGCTCAGCAGCACTGCAGCTGCCTTGCAATCTCAAGGTCCCGAGTTTGATCCCCGGTACCAAAAAAATAATTTGTTATGGATATAAATAGGATCAAAAGTCCTAGGCCAGCCTGAAGTTCATGGAGACCCTGTTTCTTACACAAACCAAAGAATTAATGGGATGTGTTTTTCTGGAACTAACATGGAGTTAAGGTTTGACAGAACACTTGGAATTTTTTCTATCATCTGGATGGTTAGCTGCACTTCTTTTTCATTGATGTGACTGGTTTCATAACCTAAATGCAGGCATTTTTTTGGTACTGGAGATCGAACTTGGGCAGGCAGCAGCACCACTAAGCTAATTCCCCCACCCACCAAATGCAATTATAGGTGTAAATCAAATACAATACTTAATATTAAGGAAAAAACGAAAAACAGACATATGTGTTTAATAAATGAAAAGCCTTTGGTCCAGAGTAGTTTACTACCTTTTTCCTGATATAAGCAGGAAAGAGGTAAAAAGTACTACAAGAGATCCTTGATGTTCATTAAATTGTTTTTTTTTTTTTTTTTTTTATTTTTTTTTTTTTTTTTTGCACAGTACTAGGGATCAAACTCAGGACCTTCTGCTTGCCAGGCAGGCACAGTGCCACTGAGCTACATCCCTGGCTCAGCTCCCATTTAATGTTCTGGGTGAGAATTAAATGCTATAACCCAAATAACCTTAATGTCTTAACTGAAGGTCACTGCCCAATAAAATAAGCAGGCCACTGCAGTGACTCTGAATGTCCCCTTAAAACTGTTCTCTAAGTGCCAGCATTGCATTAGAAACAATGTTTAGGGAAGAGAGAGATTTGAGGAAAACACCTAAAAGTCTAACAAATCTTCAATTTCAAAAAAGGTGAAAAAAATCCCACTGCCACAAAAAGATGTGTTAAAGTTTTATTAAATTTCAATACAAAAACATTCCAAAAGACGTGAACTATACCTAAGAGTTGTTTAATTACCAAACAAGGAAGACATTTTGAAAGACATTGTATCACTTCCTTTCACAGCCAGTATAAAGCCAGATGAATCAAGACTGATTCTTTTCTCAATGGGAGCAAAATTAATGGGTCTGTAAGCAAGTTTGCCAAAAAAGGTGCCTAGTCATTTAAGCATACGCTTTTGAATCTAGCATTAAACTACAATTAGTCTCTATTCTACACTATCTTAGAATCTAAATAAAATCTCAAGGGCCAAAAAGCCCTCACAGAAGCACTAAGTCAAGTAATTAGATTATGGAGGACTTGAACCAAGATCTGTATTCAAGTGCAACTAAATTTTGGTCAGTATCCTCATGGGCAGTGATCAGGAGTTTAAACCAATGAGGATTAAAAGTCCTGGGTTATTTTTGCCAATCACAAATGTTAAAGTATGACAGTAACTACATTATGGGGGGGGATCTCAAAAAACTGAGTTGGTTCCTCTACACAAACAACTCGAATGTTCCCTTGAGAACATTATCACTTGTAATTATTGGCTCTGGTCTCCGAAGCAATAAAGTACTAGGATTTCCAAAACCGGGAGCCAAGGATAATGTAGATTACCAATATAGTAATCAAGTAGCCAGTGTTTCCAGTTTGGAGTGTACTTTGTGTCATCTTAATGTTTCAAGTTGTTACTTCTGTTTCTGGATGTTACTCCTTTAGTTTTTGTTGCAAAAATTATTTCCTCGGATAAGCTAATAAAAAATGTTCCACTGGCTGAAAATCAGACACTACTGAATAAAGAACTACTACTTAGTAGTGGTCATTTTTGCTGATTCAACTTTTTTGTGTGGTGTTGGGTGACCAAATCCAGGGCCTCACACATGCTAGGCAAGTGCTTATCCCCAGCCCTTAATTCAACTTTCTGATATTCAGTGGAATTTTTTCCAAAATGCAGAGTTGCTTCCATGACTTACGCTAAATAAAATGAAAGCGAAAGCTATAAATCTACACAAATAGTCACAAGAACTTCCTGAGTGCTTCCACTTACCAATTTGTTTCCCTTTCTCCATTTGGGCAATTTTAAGTTAACTACCACTCCCTAGTTAAGTGTTAACACTGATGCCTTCCTCAGATTCACAAAAACCCTGGAAGGCAAAACCTACTGCCTGTGCCAAACCAATTCTGATGAACACTGCTTATGCAACTGTTGTGCCTTATTGTCAGCATTCTTCTGCTTCAACAGCTCTGTAAAAAAGCATGGGATCAAGTTACAGGACATTTGTTTTAGTACTGCGAGGTACTCCACTCCCCCCATTCTTACATACTTGCTGGTTTCAGTTGCACCAAAAAGTATTTGCTTTAAGTGCAAGTTTTAAAAAACAGCCATACACATAATTACTGTAAACATAGCTTTGTAGTAGGTACTGAAATTATGCTGTATGTCACCATTATGCCAATAAAATCAGGTTGCTTGAATTGTAGTAGCAATTGTACCAGTAACTCAATTCAGTTCATTTGTTTCTTGGCTGTACTGACAAGGCAGGCAACGGAAAAAATGCACAGGAGCAAGCTTGTCCCTCCTACAAGTTTCACCACACATTAAAACATCAGCCCCAGCCACTGTCACAGAATGCTTGAATGTGAAGTATTAGCAACTGGGTAAGAAATAGCTTAATAATGTATGACTGGTACATTAATGGAAATGTACCTATGTAACTTCGCTCTACAATCACGAGATGTGCCAGATACTACACAATTGTATCTTCACTTACAAGAGTTGGGTATTAGCCCAGTTTTGCAAATGGAAGGGGGGAAAAACTTAACAGGCAAAGTCAGTACAGTATTTAAACCTTCAAAAGCCGCTGCTTTCAAAACTTACCTTAGCATTTGATTTCTTGATGCCAGCTTTATCTACTGTGAACAAATCAGCACTCCATGACCACAATGACCATAGTCCTCAACCTGCAAAAATTAAATACATGAAAAACCAGTTATCTTTCTTAGGCAAATTCTTTAAAATGTGCCTATAACTGCCTTCTTTTCCAGAAAAAGGCAAGTTCAGACTTGCAGCTTAATGTATTTCATGTTCTACTACTTCTCTTAAGTGGTGGAAGATTCACTGGCTTGGGATGGACTGGAATGGCTTAAATGGTTAAGTTGCATGGCTTATGGATTCTCATTCTGTTCCAATGGTGCACTGCCACGTTAAATCCATAAGTTGAACGGACAAAACCTTATTTGAAGGAATAAGTGCAGTGTAAGGATTTTTAGTTGGAGGTCTTCAAGTTTACTCTATTCAAGAGGATCTTTTTCAACTTCATGGCTGGACCTGGGTCATGCTGCCTCAGGTTTTGCTTTTTAAAGACCACTTGCAATAGATTTTCTCCATACAGTGTAGTTTCATAGAACTAAAAACAAATCAGGCATCCAACTAAAGGTCAGGGTTGCAATGGCTTACAGGGCAAGACAGGGGGACCCCAAACGTAAGCCATTTCTTTTTGACTAAAAGGCTAATTGAAAAAAATGTCAAAATATGAAGCATGTTTAAAGGTCTTCATCAAAAATACTTTTAAAAAAAAGTACCCCCTCCCAAGCCCCAGACTGATATTGGTACACAGTTGCATTAAGGCCTTTAAGTGTCATACATGCTTTTAAAAAAAAATCCAAGTGTTGAATTTGGAAGGCTTCTAATATGCTAGTGAATATTTGCTTTTCCAAAAGGTTTTTTTTAATCTAGAGGCATTTCCATTGCCATGAGGTACAGTGTGTTTCACTGTACTATGAGGAAGGTAAGTGTTCAATTTCGACTTAGACGGAAAAACTAGTTTGCTTTGCTTACCATCTTTGCTGTTTCACAGGCATTTGATGCTTTAAATCTGATGTGGAATGCTGATAGATTCACTTTTTAGAAGTCATAAGCCTTTAGGAAGTTGGAGATAACTTCATTGCTTATCTATTTCTCCTTTGCAATCAAGCTGTTCCTTTAAAAGTGAGACACTACAGAGTTGCAAAAATTTGAAACAGTAAGAGCAAGCATCGTTTGCAGCTTCATGGTTGGTTTTGGCCAAACTTTTTATTTAGTATTCTGTAGTTGTTTAACACACACTTAAATGGTCTTACTGGGGGAGGGGAAGGGGAGGTTCTTGCAGATTCCCAAGGAAATGTCAGAAAGGCAAATTATGGCCAGCATTATCCATTTGCTTTTGTGGGTTTACTGGGCGAATGGCACTTTCCTTACATAGGTATCTGATCTCAGACTTTTTCATACTGAGAACATGGAGATTTCAGTTGGAAGGCACCCTGAAATCCTGAGTGTACCCAACCACCCTCTAATAGCTAGCTTGGCTGTACAGGCAGAATGGTTCATCTCTCAGTGGAGATCAGTGTACATCTAGATGGCTAGACGTTTGTGAAAGATCTTAGAATTGCTTGCCTTACTTACTGGGAAAATTCAGGAAGTGGCCTTTAGGGACTCTTTTACTTGGAAAATTACAACACTAGTACAACAAGTCAAGCCTTACACACTTAAACATTTGCTCGTTGAGAGCAAGTCATAATAAAATCAAACTTAAACATGTTTTACTTCTTTCCTCACAAGAACATAAAAATTATGAAGGGGAACTTAACAGGAAATTTTAAAAAAGTAACACAATTTTCCTTTTAGTAGTCCTTGGGTAGTAATGACAGAATAGTTTCCATTTTTTGTTTGTTTCTTTGAATGGGGATTTTGGTCCAAAGTTTTGTTTGTTCCTAGTATCTGCTTCTGCCTCCCCCTCTATCAGATCGGCTTCCTCCACGGCCACCACCTCTTGGTGCTCCGCGGCTTGAACTGCTGTAGGAATCGCGTGGAGGAGGGTACCCCCTTTCCATAGAAGGGGGAAGCCCTCGTTCTTGTCTGCCAACCCGATCGCGACCACTTGAGTAGAGATCACTTCGGCTGCTTGAGTAACTGTCTCGACTTCCACCATATCCGTCCCGTGAGCTGCTGTAATCATCATAGCGACTGCTTCCACCATAAGATGGCGGGGGCCCTCGTGTAGGTGGAGCACTACGTGAGTTACCTGCAGGGTCAATGGTCAGGTAATATGGCAACACTATAAATTGTATATATACAACATTTAAATCTGAATTTACAGAATTCTTGTATTAAAAAGTTTAATTTCTCAACTGGGAAGTTTTAAACTCTACCATTGCGGGCCATTATAGGGATTTGCTCATCTGCTGAGATACGGAAATGGATTGATTTTAATGTTTGTTTGAAAAGATTGAAGACGGTGTGTATTTCAAGAGGATATTCCAGACAGCTTGTTATTTTATAGTAGACACTCAGAGCCTTCCACCATCCGTCCCGTGAGCTGCTGTAATCATCATAGCGACTGCTTCCACCATAAGATGGCGGGGGCCCTCGTGTAGGTGGAGCACTACGTGAGTTACCTGCAGGGTCAATGGTCAGGTAATATGGCAACACTATAAATTGTATATATACAACATTTAAATCTGAATTTACAGAATTCTTGTATTAAAAAGTTTAATTTCTCAACTGGGAAGTTTTAAACTCTACCATTGCGGGCCATTATAGGGATTTGCTCATCTGCTGAGATACGGAAATGGATTGATTTTAATGTTTGTTTGAAAAGATTGAAGACGGTGTGTATTTCAAGAGGATATTCCAGACAGCTTGTTATTTTATAGTAGACACTCAGCCACTTTCCAGTGATAAGTTGCAATTTTGAACTGTAGAGTTTCCTTCATATTACAATGGTAAACATTTGATCTTGTTAATAAAATTTTTAAATTGTATTTTCACTGTTGGGGGAAAACACATAAGGCTGCCAATTTAAGCAAGCAAAATCCCCTCCAAAGCAAGCGAACAGCCTCAAAAAGAAAAAAAAAAACTTAAGAGAAACAAAAGCCCCTCACAAAACTAGGAAAAGCCCAGCTGATAGTTACCCCTTTAAAAGCAGGCAAACATCCCCTTAAAAAGCAAGCACCACGCAGCCTATTAAACTGGCTTATGAACAAACCTAAAAACTCAAGCTGGTGATATTCAAGACCCTTAACCAGTTTCTTACCATAACTCTCATATGAATCTCTGTAGGAACCTCCACTCGGGTGGTCTGAATAGTCACGGTCCCGACCATAGCCATCTCTATCACTAAATAAAAGAGAAACTCTTTAAGTCCCAGAGCATCAATTTCCACAGCAAATTTTCAGCATCAAGCCATGGAAACAAAAGTGTCCCACCTATAGCCTCTTGATGGATAGTCATCACGTGAACTGGAATGACCATAATCACGGTAAGTATAATCTCTTGGTGGTGGGGCATAATCTCTTGTATCACGAGAACTTGGGTAATCTCTGCTTGAATAGCTATAGAAACAAAGGTAATTGGGTTTATGCTTGTGATCTTTCCTTCTGCATTAATCATGAGAAAAAAAAAAGCCATAACTCTTTCTTACCTGTCTTTAGTGGAATATCCATCATCTCTTGGAGACAAATAAACATCTCTACGAGAGGGCAGGGGTTCCCTTCGAGGTGGGCCTCCATAACTATCTCTTCCACGTGATACAGGGGCTTAAAGAAAAAAATCGTTTTTAAAAACCTAGCCAAAGCAGGAAAATAAAATGTACATTCAGGCTATGAATAAGGACTGAAAAACAGTAACATGAGGAAAAAAAAAAGAAAAAAATGCGGGGAGGGAATTTTAAAAAATAAAAACAAGCTGTATTAAGTACATGTACTCCCTTATCCAAGATGACTAAACTGCATGTACCACAAACATGTACTAATATATATATAAAATTTTTAAAGTTTAAAATATGGTTAATATGTAGTTGATCAGATCAAGACATTTTCTTCTTTAGAATTTCCATTTAAGTCTTTTCAGGGCTCATTAATCTGGTGTACTAGATCACCTGGAATCCATGAGTCAATCTGAAGTTAAAAGATATTTTAGGAGTCACCTCTCAATTCCTCGAGTTAATGACAGCAGGTTAGTATTCATCCAATATTTACCCCTTCCGCCCATTCCACTGCTGCTGCGAACTGGTCCTGAAGGGGCTGATCTCTTAGGAGGGGGACCCCCGCTTCGTGGTGGTGGCCCTCTTTTCACTGGAAGGGGTCCTCTGGAAGAACTCATGTTAAAATTCATGGAATAGCCACCATCATCTACATTAGAATGGAAAAAATACCTGTTAACAATCACAAGAATCAACAAAAAAAACTTTAGCTGGGGAATGGAGCTTTAGTTTTCAATTAATTGTAAGGGCTGGGGATGAAGCTCAGTGGAAGACTATTTGCTCAGTATCCATGAGGCCCTGGATTCAATCCCCAATACATAGTTTTCAACTGCAGAAGTCAAGGAAAAGTAGTTTTATTGAAGTTATCTCAAAGAAAATACATCTTTTTTACTATGTGTGATGCCAAGCATAAAGAAAATTTTCTAAGTACTTTTCCTACAGTTAAAACTACTTAAGGAATTTTACATGGTCCATCACTTCAATTAATACTGTAGCTTAACTTGGGATTCCTTCCATTGCTTCAAGTGATAATCACTTCAATAGGTAAGCAAGTGTTCACAATTTAAAGATGGAGGCTTTGCCTTTTAACAAGGACTTAACTAAACAGGTGTGAGTTTGAAGCCCAAGATCCACCCAAATCCTTACCCATGTGCCCTCCATGTGAGGGAGGCCCTCTAGTTCCTCCGCTTCCTCCTCTTCCCCCTCTAAGGCCTCTGGGAGGGCCTCTGCTTCTTGGAGGTGGAGGTGGCCCACGTCTACCACTTTCAAATGATGGTTTGGTGGCTTGTTCCACCTTGATGGCTTTTCCATCTAAGGACTTTAAAAACAGAAAAAAAATGATCGAAATGGTTAAATTAGCCAGGCACAGAGGCACATAGCTAGCACTGTAGAAGGCTAAGACAAGAGGACAACAAGTTTGAGCCCAACTTGGGCAACTTAAGTGACTCTCAGAATTAAGAACAAAAAAGGCTGGGGACAAAGCTCAGTGTGAAGATCCTGGGTTAAATTCTCAACACCTAAAAAGATAAATTATACTGAGATTTTAAAAGAATTTACAGACCTGGAATGCATTATAACACCAACAGGCCCTTTAAGAGTTATCACTGGGCTGGGGATTTAGCTCAGTGGTTTAGGCAGCTGCCTCACAAGTGCAAGGGCCCCTGGTATCACAAAAATAAAATAAAAAATAAATAAAAATCAAGTTATCATTAAAATTTACCCATTACTCAAAGAAAAACACTAAAACTAGTATTTCTATAAATGAGACTTTTCCCCCTTAGGTTTCTACTCCATCTTTTTGAAAAAATACTGATGCGCTGAATCAAAGCTTAAGGTAGACCTACCACACACAGTTCAGTAAAATTTAAAACTAAAAAAAATCTGAGGGATTTAGCTCAGTGATTCCGCTGCCTGCTTTGCAAGCACAAGGTTTGATCCCTGGTACCAAAAAATAAAAATGAAAAAAACTGGATCAGGGATTTCGCTCATTGGCACTGTACCTGCCTCACAGTTGCAAGGGTCCTGAGTTCAATCCCCATTACCAAAAAAATAAAAAAATACTAAAAACAAGCGTTAGCAACTTGTGATCAAAATAACCAGATTAAAAGCCAGCTTATATAACTGATATATGGATGCCATAATAAAATACAGTATCGTATGGCCTTATATAATCCATAACTTTGGTTACAAAGTTTGGGTTTGGCATTAGACAATACACTTCAGAATGGCAACTCAAATTGCTAACATCAGGAGGTCCTGGACAAGTATATATTCAAAAACAACAAAAATTCAAGTTTCCCTGGACCAGACTTGGATGCATGCTGTTTCATGCAATAGGGAACATGCTATCCATCACTGTGCAGGGGTCTCACCTTTCCATTCATGTCCCGAGCTGCATCCTTGGCATCTGCTGGGCTTTCAAAGGTAACAAAAGCAAATCCTCTTGATTTATTGGTTTCTCGGTCTTTCATCAATAGTACTGAAAAACAGTTTAAGAAAACGTGTTACCCTACTTCAAATGAAATAACATGAAGGAAGTTTTGTAAAAAGAACGCTCAGAACTTCTTAGAGGACAAAATACATTATCATGTCAAATGATCAATGCAATCAAATTCATCACAGCTTATCTTTTATAACAATAACCATGCATGTACTTTCAGATAACTCACCTTCCACGATTCGTCCATATTTTCCAAACACTGCTTCAAGGGCTTTCTCGTTTGTCTCTGTATTAAGCCCACCAATAAAGAGCTTTCCTGGGCGATCTGCTTCAACCATTTTTTTTTTTAATCCCTGGTGAATCTGGTGAAAAATAGAGTAGTATTACCGCCCTTGAGAAAGTTCCTTAAATTTAACGGGTACCTTATCGTGGCTCATTTATCAAGTTTTACTTAAAACTTCAGGTTTGAATAGACACCGAGAAGTTTCAAACGCGGTAGGAGACCAACTTAAATCCAGTAGTGTAACAACAGCGCCCTTTACATTAAACTGGTTTAAAAGAGCCAATCTAATTTTCGCCATTAACCTTAATCTCCCTTGGCCGTTTTTCATTTAACAAGCTACTCTAAGTGTGAAAAATGCAATTTTCGTTTTAACCGTACATTCGTTGACTCCTAGAGATTCAATTACTTATCCCATACACCACCACCCCGCTCCGCTGTTAAGGTTTGACTACCGACCCACTCAAGGTCGCTGGCCAAACTCACAACCAACAACCATCAAAAGCTTTCTTCCAAGGGCTCCCCCTTCGTCTCATTAGAATTCCCCACTACGTCTAAAAACAGTAGCAGAAATCTTCAATTAGAGCTAACTTGTGCCTCATCTTCGCCAGCCCCCGCCCGCCCAAAGGATAGTTTCACTAAAAAAAAATGTCAGCATTGTTTCAGATTAAATAACGGGACATCTGCACGCGCACAGTAACTCATAGCTCCAAGACCGCGGCGGAACCCAATTAAGATTTTTCATCAGGACCCGCGTGGAAAAGACAAAATGGCGACACTTGGATTCAGCCCAGAACCACCGGCACCGGTCAGGCAACTAAGTTTAGCCGGCAACACCGGCCGGGAAAATTCAAAGGACTTCCTCTGCAGGGGCGCTCAAGAACAAGGAAGGCGGTCGCGTACAAGTCCTCATGGCCACGGCCATGGCCAGCACCAACCCCACGCAGGTAGCGCAGCGCCGGGCTCCAGCCCACAAAAGCCCGACCTCCGCCCCTGAGTCCGCAAGGCGCAGCCAAACTTCCCTGAGCGGGATGCGACGAGAAGTCCCCCGCCCCGTGCGTTTCCCTTCGACCCCCCGTGGCCTCATTACCGAGGTCGGCACCTTTGGGTGACTTAAAATGGCGCCTCACCACCCCCGTCTCGAAAGATTATCCCAAGTAGTAACGTGGCAAGAGTGCATGACAAAAACGGACTAAGGCAACACGTACCAGAAAGGTAGCGACGGTCTCAAGCTCCTACGAGCTCGCGGACAAGGGCTGACCAGGCAGCCCGGGACAAGTGACAGTTACCGGGTAGGGGTACTGAAGTGAGGAGCCTCTAGCAGTACTGCGCAACGAGGGCGAACAAAGGAGACAGCAAACTTTATACTACCCGGGAACGAGGCTGAAGGACCCGGATGGAAACGAAGCTTAGAATTTGAAACGCGAAGGGCGGGGGGAGCGGTTCTCAGCCTTCTTATTGGATATCTCCTACGTCATTCACGCTTCGTCCCTCTCCTTTTCCCCAAGCCCTGGGCGTTCTGGCCGGCGCCTGATTCTAACCGTTTTCCCTACCCCCACCCATTCTCCTCTAAGGCGGGTTTTTGCTTTGTGTTAAAGTAGTGCACCGGCTTCGTGTAATGAAGAAGTGAAATTTATGGGCCGTCCTAGTGCGCCGGGAACGGTGCAAAACTTTTTTTTTTTTCCATTAACCTTTCATTCTAAAACCAACGTGGTGAGAGTAGATAAAGGCCAATTTTGCAGAAAGGGAAAACAAAGAAGTTTAGGTAATACAATATACTTGCCAAAATGATCTTCAGCGAGGATTTTTCATTGAGTGGGGAGTGATTTTGATAAATAAAAGGCAGGTGAGGAAAAACTATAAACAGCGTGCAAATCGTTCATTCATACAGAACTATTACTGAGCGCCTACCACGCTCTGAGTTAGGCCTGAAGGTACGACCCAGAACTAGAAAGACAGGACAAAAAAAAAAAAAAAGGGACAAGACTAGGCGCCTCGTGAGCAAAGCTGTCACATTTAGGAAATAAAATCCCAGGAAGCCAAGTTAAGATCGAATGTCAGATAACGCGTATTTTGTTTTTTGGTATATGCCCCAAGTATTATATACAAGGAATTATGATTATTTATCTGAAATTCCAATTTAAAAAACTGGGCATTCTGTATTTCACCTGGCCATGTTACTGGAGTAGGGAAAATGGAAACATTTTTCGTTAAAAATTAAAGAAAAAAATATAGTTAACGGTAATTGCATATTGTGATTAGTACCAGGAAGGATGTAAAGTGAACAATGTTAGGGAGACAAAATTTGCCTAAGACATCAGGGCAGGTCTATCTGAAGTCAGAGCTGAAAATAGAGAAGAAACCATGGGAAGATCTGAGGAAGAAGCCTTTTAGGAAATTAAAAATCGAAAAACAAAAACACTAGGCCCGAAGAGGAAGGAAAGAGCTTGCCACGTGGGGAGGAACAGAAAGAGCGCCAAAATAATAGGACCTTAAGGAAAATCAAGTGAGGGAGCCAAGGAAGGCAGGACCTGTGAACTCATTAAAAGGGTAATAGTACAGAAGCAGAAACCATTAGAACAGTAGGAAAAGACCAGAGGGCCCAGTGGCCTTGAAGAGGAGGAAACAGTTGTTGGATGAATATGCACGTATGAGGACAGGATTTGCTAATGAATCAGTTAGTGTTACAATGGTGTGAATATCCTCATTCCCCCTAACTCCTTTGTTGAAACCCTAGTCTCCAAGGTGGTGGTATTTGGAAGTGGAGTCCTGGGGGCCCCAGTGAAAGTAACCCATTCCACCGAAAAGAAACCATCTAGGAACCAGGAAAGTGGGCGGTGGGCTCTCACCAGGCACTGCTTCTGCCAGTGTTTTGACCTTGGACTTCTAAATCTCCAGAACAAGTGTGATATAATTGTTTTTGTTTATAAGTTTCTCAGTTTTGGGCCAAGGGCTCAGTGGTTCCGCCGCCTGCCTTGCAAGTGTAAGGTCCCTAGTTCGATCCCCAGTACCAAAATAAACAACTCAAGTTTTTGATATTTTGTTACAGCAGATTTCCTGGACTAAGCAGATGGGGGTACAACCTGGAGGAAGCAGGGGAAATCATTGTGGACGAATCCTGAGCATCTGGAATTAGTAGGACAGATTGCAATGGGCAAGTTTGGGGTACAGGATGGGGCAGAAAAATCCGATGCTTGGAATAAGGACCTATGTTAAATTGTCACCCCAAAGATAGTAAGCCATCACAATGCATGAAACCACCAAAGGAGAATAGAGCAGGAAACATAATATAAGCTATGTATAAAATATGTTTCTGGAGAAAAATGACTGGAAGGAAGCATTCTAAAATGTTACTAGTTTTTCTGTTTTGTTTTTTGAGACAGTGTCTCTCTATGTAGTTCAGGCTGCCCTCCAACTCAGTAGGTAGCCCAGGCTGGTCTGGAACTCACAGTGATCCTCCTGCCTCAGCTTCCCAAGTGCTGGGATTACAGGCGTGCGCCACCACACCTGGCTAATGTTATTAGTTTGTCTTGGAGTGGGTGGTGGAATTTATGGATAAAGGCCACTTTCAAATTCTTCCTAGTTACAAATTACCTGCCCACAGTGAATCATGGTATATGCCAGCAGGTCACAGTAAGTAATGCTTAGGTCCTTCATGAAAGCCCCTAAGGTGCTTTGGAACTAGCTCTAAGTTATTAACACTACTGGAGGAAATAATGCTTAGCAAAACAAAAGTATTTGTACTTTTTGTGTTTTTTTCCCCAGCCAGATAACATATGAAGCAAAAGAAATGTCTTATCTGTCGCAGAATTAGTTATATAAATCATGCACACTAGCAGTGGATGGGAACTGGCCAGGTGGGCAAAAATTACTTAAAGGCTCAACAAGCAGAAGCTGCATCCTCAGGGGAGGCCAGGAGAAATCCCTCACCCCTGGAAGAGGCGCTCTTCTTCTCAGTCTCAGATGCAGACTCCAGGACTGCAGGGCCCTCCCTAGGCTCTAAGTCTAAGACGTGTCTCTTCCAGTCTAGGACAGGACAGAGCAGGCTCTGCAATAGATGTTCCTGTTCCCCTGGGTCTCAAGAAGGAAAATATAGGCTGGAGATGTAGCTCAGCTGTAGAGAGCTTGCCGAGCACACACAAGGCCCTGGGCTCCAGCCTCTGATCACTGCCCAGGAACTTCGGAGAGGAACAGGCCAGTGATGTGGATAAATGGGCACTTCAGAGTTCCAGGAGGGGTGGCCTGTCAGAGATTTGCAAGAGGGCATCAGTATGGCTGTAGCACACAGTGGGGGACAGTCTTAAGTCACTTTCCTTGTTGCAGAGACAAAATACCTGCAACCTACCACTTAAAGGAAGAGAGGTAGGTTTATGACCCCATAATCCAATGACCTTCCAAAAGGCCCCACCTTTGAGCGCTTGAGGCTTTGGAAAAATGTCAGGTATAAACCATGACAGACAGAGAGGAAGGAGAAGACTCTACTGACTAGATCCAAAGGGCAATGGGGAGAAGAGCCAGTTTAAAATGTGGAGTAAAATAACTGGGTATCATCTTCAGATTGCTATGGTCCAAGTCTGGAGACTGTATGGGGGAGGGGATAACAAGCAGAGAGATCAAATCAGACAGTGCCACATACGCGATCCAGGAGAAAGGAGACAAAGGTATGCGGAGTGGGAGGGACTCTGGCCGGTAGGCAATTCCTTTGTATTGTCATTAAATGTAGTTTGATGTTTTACCATAATATTTTGGCCCATTGTTTCTCTCTAGCTGCCATGTTAGTCAAATCTGATAGACTGCTTTCAGCAATATTACTTCTATTACTGCTAGGTAAAGTCGGAATATAATAAATGCTAAATAAATGTTGTTTAAACCAGGCACAGTGGCACATGCCTGTAATCTCAAGCTATCTGGGAGGCTAATGCAAGATGATTTCAAATTCAACCCCAGTCTGGGCAGTTTAACAAGACTGTTTCAAAATTAAAAAAAAAAAATTTTTTTTAAAAGCATGATGTCTCGCTTTGTAGTTCAGGCTGGCCCTGAACTCACTATGCAGCCCAGGCTAGCCTCAAATTCCTCCTGCCTCAGCCTCCCAAGTGCTTGGATTACAGGCGTACATCATGACACCTGGTTCAAATTTTTTAAATTTTAAAAAGGGCTGGTAATGGATCCCAGTGTAAAAGCCCTGTGCTCTAGCTCCAGTACTGCCAACAAAACAAAAGCTTTCAGTCATCAAACTAAGGATCACTGGGGCCAGGGATTATTTAGCTCAGTGGTTCTGCCACCTGCCTTGCAAGAGCAAAGTCTTGAGTTCAATCCCGGGTACAAAAAAAACAAAAAAAAACAAACAAACAAACAAAAAAAAAAAACAAAAACTAAGGATCACTCCTCAGATGAGTACATTTATGCTCTCCTGTCAGGTTTATATTTTTGCGTGAAGGGCGAATGTGAGATCATTTTGCCGTTCTGTCTGTTCTCTAAACTACAGAAAGATAACCCTGCTATGTGTCATTAAAATCCTGTCCTCCTGTCTGAAGCAAAAAGAAGGAAGGGAGGAAAGAATTGTATTAGATTAGAATTGTAAAGATTAGAGGTTGGGAAAGTTTCCAAAGCACTTTAAGTAGCCATTGTACAAATAATAGCCTACTTGGAACAAGCAAGGAAGAAAAACTTGAATCAACACATGGTTCTGCTACAATATCTATTTTTTTCTTCTTCTTTTTTTTTTTGTGTGTGTGTACTGGAAATTGAACTCAGGACCTTGCACTTGCAAGGCAGGCAGCATAACCACTGAGCCAAATACCCAGCCCATCTGGTACAGTATCTGTATTAGAACTAGATGCCTAAATGAGGATACAGTTGTATTTTTCTGCACAATAAAGGAGGGTTTTTTTGTTTCGTTTTGTCTTGTTTTTTACAATGAGGGAGTTTTGAGCCAGGCATGGCGGCGCATGCCTATAATCCCAGCACTTGGGAGGCTGAGGCAGGAGGATCGCTGTGAGTTCAAGACCAGCCTGGGCTCCATAGTGAGTTCCAGGTCAGTCTCAACTACATAGTGAGACCCTGTCTGAAAAAAACAGAAAACAAAACAAAACAAATACAATGAAGGAGTTTTAATGAAACATCCTGGGTTAAAGGGGATTTAGCTCCATGATTCCACTGTCTGCCTTGCAAGTACAAGGTCCAGAGTTCGAACCCTGGTACCAATAAATAAATAAATGAAAGAATACTGAATTAAAAAGAAGCAAAATATGCCTCAAGGAACATTGTGAGAAGTGAGATGATGGATTTCTCAATAAATTATGTTGAGGCAACTAGAGAGCTATCTAATTGAAAAAAAATCTGGATTCATAGCACATTTTTGACTACAAAAT